AAACCAAAAATCAACATTGTGTTTCTCTCTACATTATTTTTGTCCTGCCAAAAATACACAAATTTAAAAAAATTCACTGGGAAGATTTTTTACAAAATTTATTTTATATTCAAGATGGAAAAATGTGTAAATTGGTATAAGATCCGAAGAGAATGATCAATGTTGCAGCAGTGTCTGACATGTTGCAGCAGTGTCTGACATGTTGCAGCAGTGTCTGACATGTTGCAGCAGTGTCTGACATGTTGCAGCAGTGTCTGACATGTTGGAGCAGTGTCTGACATGTTGGGGCAGTGTCTGACATGTTGCAGCAGTGTCTGACATGTTGGAGCAGTGTCTGACATGTTGGAGCAGTGTCTGACATGTTGCAGCAGTGTCTGACATGTTGCAGCAGTGTCTGACATGTTGGAGCAGTGTCTGACATGTTGGAGCAGTGTCTGACATGTTGGAGCAGTGTCGACATGTTGGAGCGTTGTCTGACATGTTGCAGCAGTGTCTGAATGTTGCAGCAGTGTCTGGTACATGTTGCAGCAGTGTCTGACATGTGCAGCAGTGTCTGACATGTTGCAGCAGTGTCTGACATGTTGCAGCAGTGTCTGACATGTTGGAGCAGTGTCTGACATGTTGGAGCAGTGTCTGACATGTTGGAGCAGTGTCTGACATGTTGCAGCAGTGTCTGACATGTTGGAGCAGTGTCTGACATGTTGCAGCAGCGTCTGACATGTTGCAGCATGTTACACCCTTTTGTTCAGTTTAAGTAGACTGTTTTTACTAGTTACTATCACAATGGCATATTCTTGCATGTTACTTTTGCTATTTCGCTTAATATTATATTCAGGAATAATTCCATTAATAGCTAAAATGGATTTACACTACTTTATAATATTATCTGGTCGTATTACTTAGCTTTGTATATAGGTAGGTTATATAATTAGTACAAACTGCTGGTGACCTGGTCAAGCACCAGTAGGTGTTTTGAGCTGCTCAACCCCTGCTCTTCCTCATACCGAACCTAATTACCCCCAATCCCCCATTCCCTATCCCATCCTCCCCCTTTTCCTTTCCTCCTCCTCCTCCCCACCCCTCTCTTTTGCCCTTCTTTTTTGGCCTTTGGGTTTTTTTATTTTTTCCCCCACAGGCACGCTAGTTCCTAGGTAGGGGAAAGGGTACTGGGGTCCATCCCATTCCGTTGAGGTTCTTAGCGGTGGCGTAGTTTGCCGTGGAATCTGGATTGCCTGGGGATGTCCTGATCCCTCTCCGGTATCCCGGAGGGGGGCTTTGGGTGTCTCTCGGGAAACGGGTGTATCTCTGGAAGCCACCTTTCGGATTCCGGGGGTGGGGGCCCAAAAGGGAGGTATGCTTTTGTGGCGGATTTCCGGCCGCCCCCCTCTTTGTCCACCGAGGTAGCTCGGCAGATGTGAGGTTGCTATCCCAGTTTACTGGCATGATGGGTAGGGTATGGCACGGGTTCCATGCTGCATCTGTGCTATTTGCGGTGCGAGGTCCTCTTGGGGTGCGGAGGAGATTTCTGGCCCTTTCATTCCTCCTAGGAACTATCCTTCCCCGGTCTCTCCTTTTTTTATTCATTTTTTTATTTTCATTTTCTATTCTTTCTTTTTTTTTCTTAAAAACAAAGAAGTAACCTAACCATGGCAGCCCTAGTCCATGAACCTGCTACCCCCGGGCCCCTTCTTGATACCACACCCCGTTCTGACCCCACCTTGTCTTTTGGACCACTCTTCGGACACTCCTCATGCCTCTGTACCTTTTTTGCCAGTGCTTTTCCTCACCTGCTTCAGGTACTGGGGCCTCGACTGACTCCTTCGATTTATCTGACCTTCGCTCTCCTCTGACTATGCTTCCGGCCTCTCCCTCTATGGTGCGGCAGTTTTCGAATCGCCGGCCCATTCCACGTCTGACCAACTCTGGTCCCACGCCTAAATGCCAACGACAATTACCTCTGATGATACTTCTCCACTTCTCGTTCTTCTCAGAAAAGATCGACACTCCTTCACTCCCTTTTCCCACACTCGGTTTCAGAATGCACAAGGGACTAAATTCTTCACTTTACGACCGATTTCCCTCTACTGCCTTCTTTCCGACCACGTTTGGCAAGGCACTCCTACGCCATGTTGGTAAAGATATTTCTTTCATGCTCTTAAGAGCGGAAACGCGCATCATTACCGTACAGAATGCTACCCGGGCTCATGAGCCCTCGTCTTTCCCATACGATACTGTTCCTGCACTCATGAAAAACATCATTCCCTCAATTCTTGTAGTGGTACCGTCATTCTGCCCATACCATAGTTCAACAAAATTTCCAGACATGTGGCACTGACATTCTTGAACAGCTGGAACTCCAAGATCTCCCAATCCTCAAGGTAGACACTTAGTTCTTCCTGCCCGCGGGCGGAGACAAAAAACCCTACAATGTGGCTCATTTAAACTTTTGACAGCCGAGAACCCCCATCCTCAGTTTATATAGCAGGACATCGGTTACAAGTCCGAAAGGTGATCCCTACACCGCAACAGTGTAGAAATTGCTGGCGATTTGGCCTTCCAGCGAAAAAATTTGCAGTCTATCGCCGAAATGCCCAGTCTGTGGTGCCGATGACCATTCTAAAAACGTCTTGCAATCGACCTCCCTCTTCCCTTAATTGTCATGAGGCTCACCCTTTGTACTCTCGACATTGCAAGTCACTTAAATGAGGCGGGAAATCCGTTACCTCAAAGAGGCAGAAGGTCTCCCTTATGCCATGGCAGTTTCTCATCTCCGCCTCCAAGGGAGACTACCTCGTGTTTTTTCCCCGTGTTTCAAAACGTCCCCCCACTTCTGGTATCCCATCTTCTGCAACCCACCTCTGTGGTTAGCTCTCCCATAGTCACTCCTGTAGCTAATTCTTTTGCTGTCCTCGGCTCAGATGTCCCCTACTTCAACGTCTCAGTCTGACTCGCTTCTTCGTGTTCTCTCTCACAAGCCTCAGTAGCGACGAGATTTTCGTATGACACCTCCTCCCAATCGTTCCTCTACTTCTCAAAAGTCAAAAAAAAGGTCCGTTAACACCTCCTACCCATCTTCCACCTCTCATTTTCCCTTCCCCTGTCTCTGTACCTGGTTTCTCCCCTCTCACGGGCTCTGTTACAAGTGTAGAGGTTCACCCTCTCCTTGTACTGTACCTTCCTCCCCTGTTCCTCCCAAGTTTCTTCCTCTTCTGCCACCTCCCAGGTTTCTGCCTCTTCTGTCCCCTTTCCACGCTTCTCCCAGTTCCCTCCCACCCTTTCCCCCCCCCTACCTTGGTACAGTCCATTACAGTTCCAATCTTTACTCATCCCCCCCCTACCATTTCCAATATTGCTCCCATACGAGTCTCTGAATTCTGAAACACTTGAAGCAATCCTGAATATATTGCAGAGACCAAACCATCAATGGACACTGATCCACCCTCCGCTCCTTCCCCTCCCTCTACTCCCATC